AGGCAGGGTGATAAATCTGGGTCAGCACTAGGGGGGAGGAGGGAGCGAGGGGAAGCGAGGTCGCCGCTGACCCCAGAACAGGTGCTACAGCTCCCAGAGGATTTTCTGCAGAGGGCGGCTGTTCCACAGAGCTCCTGCTCTCAGGATGAGTCTGAGAGAGTGAGTCAGGTTCCTCTTTCTGGGTCATGTCTTTGAGAAGAGCCGGTCTGAATGTGATGATCAGTGAGAAGTAGCCGGAACAGACCACCGTGTGTAATGCATTGTGCTGCCGGTGAGATCCATGTGAAGGGTCACACATCACACACACACATATCACATGTATGCATGTCTATATATATATATACGTCTGTTTCCTGCTTTCTATTTCATAACCCTCCTCTCTGTCTGTCTGCTCTCAGAGGCTGAAGGATGAGATAGCAGAGGTGACCAATGAGATTGAAAGCCTGGGCCAGAGTGAAGAGAGGTAAAGTATCTCTTAACCATTCCTGTGCGTGGGCAGCTGGGGTCCTCAGCCTTTGTTTTAGTGGAAGTGCACTCAGAGAGAGGGACATGATCTGCCAGACGCTCAAAACAGAACGCGCTTTATGAAGTTGAACAATATACAGTTTACTATGATGTAGAACTGAAAAGCAGCAAAGCCTCACATTTGAGAAACTAAAAACAGTGAATGTTTGCCATTTTTCTTAATAAATACTTTAAATGATTATCAAAACTGCCGTCTATTTTCTTTTGGTCAATTTGACAAATCCATGTATTTAGTTTGGGCTCTTTTCATTTGTTTTTAGGAAAAGCATGCAGAGGAATAAACAGATGGCCATGGGCCGAAAGAAGTTCAACATGGACCCGAAGAAGGTAAGAATGTTTGGCATCTTTAACAATCTTGTTTTACAGAAAAACCCCAAAGATATTTAGTTTACAAAAATAAAAACACAAAAAAAGGACCAAAGTTGGTCAAATTAAAATAGGTAATACACTGTATGTGTTCACTTGGTATTTGTTCCTCACTGGACACCATAACATTCATATTCAATGTATTTATTCTTTGTGAACGATGTTCAGACTGGGTTTCTTTTCTCCCTCAGGGGATTCGTTTCTTGATTGACAGTTCCCTTTTGAAAAACACCAGCGATGACATCGCCCAGTTTCTCTACAAGGGGGAGGGGCTTAATAAGACTGCTATTGGAGACTACCTAGGGGAGAGGTAAGTGTCAAGATGTTTAATATTTACATTTTTATAATTTGTATTATTTACATTTTTAGTACAAAACACTGGGTTAGGGTTACAAAAAGACAGAAAACAGATCTTTTTCTTTTTTTTTACACGTGCAGCATTATTGAGGACAAATCAGGAGCTTATCAATATGCTATTAGTAATCTGAATATGATTTAATAAGCTCATGTTGCATTAGCAGTTCTAAAAGATCATCTGTTAATCTGATTTGTCACATCTCATCCAACTTTTGTAGCAGCCATCTCGGATAGCCAAACAGAGCAGCATTCAGCTACTGATCCTGTTTTATTCCCTGTGTGTGTGTGTGTGTGTGTGTTGTAGAGATGACTTCAACATCGAGGTCCTGCACGCCTTCCTGGAGCTGCACGAGTTCTCAGACCTGAACCTGGTGCAGGCCCTGAGACAGTTCCTGTGGAGCTTCAGGCTGCCCGGCGAGGCTCAGAAGATCGACCGCATGATGGAGGCGTTCGCCCTCAGATACTGCCGCTGTAACCCCGGAGTGTTCCAGAACACAGGTTGGCTGATTTTTTGAAGCAGATCGATGTCATACCAACTAGGGATGCCAGCGATTATTCGATTTTTCGTTAGTCTCCATAATCGAAAATTATTTTAAAAAATCGATTTTATTTATATATATTTTTATTATTTATGTTTTTCTTTTTTTTCCTGGCTTAGTTTCAACCAAAGTGTAGACTAATGCTAATAATAGTAATAGTATTAATAATTGTAAATGGCCATTGGTCACACCACCAGTTTGTTTTACTGTAAACTTGGAGGAAGCCTGCAGCACAGGCTGCACAGAGTGCAGACTGCTGCTGCAGCCTGCTGCAGCCTGCTGCAGCCTGCTACACACCGACCCCGCCCCCTCTCGGTCACACGTGCGATTGATTTATTGGCGATATGCAGAACAGTGAGAACAACACAACTAAAGATGAACAAAGCGGCACGTTCAAAGAAGAGTTCCTCGTGGAACTACTTCGAACTGACAAGTGCAAATGAAGTCAAATGCAAGCTCTGCGAAAAGACTTTGGTCTACCACAGCTCAACATCAACCATGCGTTAGCATTTGAGTGCGAAGCATGCCAAAGAAGTGCCTACAGAGAAAGACGCAGCACAGCCGGCCATTACTAACTGCACTTCAAGGCCACGTCGTTGTGATGACTGGTCAAACTGATCAGGTTTGACGGCGAATAATCGATTAATATTCACCAGGGCTATCCGATTTTCAATTTGATCATGGTCAGTTTCTGGCATCCCTAATACCAACAAATCTGACTATAGGTAAAGTCCTGAAAAAGAACACACACACTGATTGAGTCTTCTTTTACAGATACCTGTTACGTGTTGTCTTTCGCTGTGATCATGTTGAACACCAGTCTACACAACCCCAACGTGAAGGACAAGCCCTCGGTCCAGAGGTTCACGGCCATGAACAGAGGCATCAATGATGGAGGAGACCTGCCGGAGGAGCTGCTCAGGGTGAGAGGCGTTGTATTTACACGTTTGAGCAATGTTCCCCTCCAGTATATATTCGGACAGACAAAGTCTACTCTGTTTAAATACAGACAAAAATAATACCAAAACAAAAAACATGCATTGTGCCAAATCACACTGTCGTCCACTTGATGTTCAGTCTTCTTACTGTGTAAACACTGCTGATGATGCAACTGGTAAAGGGGCGGCTAATTGTAAATCCATTATGTTCTGCAGAGGCGCTTAATCCATAAAAACACATCATACATTTAACTGATTATATTCTCTATTATTACTCTGAGAATGCAAAGTAACTAAAGCTGGGAAGATAAAGTTAACATCCCATATCTGCTCATCGTCTCTGTAGAACTTGTTCGACAGCATCAAGAACGAACCCTTTAAGATCCCAGAGGATGATGGGAACGACCTCACACACACCTTCTTCAACCCCGACCGAGAAGGATGGCTGCTCAAGCTCGGTTAGTTCATGTGGTGTGGAACAGTGCAATTCATGAAATCATTCTGCTGTTAGTCCCTGTGAGCTGTGAGGCCCTCTAGTGAACTGGATCTGTAACAGCAGATGAGCAGAACACATTGTTGTATTTTTGTCATATTAATTTGTGGACATTGTTTTTGTTTGTTTGTCTTTCATGTGTTTTTGATTCCAGGAGGTATGTACATTTTAAAACCCCTCAGCTTTAATGGACTGCTTTGCTTCTGAGCCCCCTCCTCCCCTCTCCTCTCCTCTCCCCTCCTTGCTTCTACCCACACTGGCACAATTGGATTAAGATTAAAGAAAAAAAACTCTTGGGCTGTATTCTTTAAAAAAGATGGTTTGCAATTTGAAGTGGGGTTGTGTCAGCTGCTTGTTTAGAGACCGGCACAGGGGCTAAGAAATGTCCTGCTGTGGACAGGCATCAGAAAAACACATTTTAGCCTTCTCTAAACGAAAAGTTATTTATTTTAATGTACAACATATTTATAATATCTTTAACTTTCCATCAGACAGCCCACTCTGACGGGGGACTGAAGCCGTTATCTCCAAAGCAACCAGACTCAATTGTTGAAAACAGTTCTCCAAGAAACACACCATTGTTCTCCGTCTGCCACGATCACTTAGTTTGTAGATGTTATTTTCTGACTTTGTTGAATTTGAACTCAACCCAAAGTCATTCACAACAACAAACAAATTAAAGGATTGAGTCAGAACAGCAACTCCCTTGTTCTGCGAGGTAGAATGACTGTTTTTGCCAATGTTGTCTGGCAGCTTTGAAGAGAGCATAACTGGTTATGAAGGCTTTAATTCCCCGTCGGTAAGGGCTGTCTGGCGGCAAGGTAGATCAAAGAAATGATTCTGAACATGACATACATGGATTTATTTCTCAAGGTAGGCCTGTCTTTTAGTTGGCTTAAATATGATCCCTTTCCACAGCAGTACATGTCTCAGCTTCTGTATGAATGGGTCCCTGTTGACATCCATACACTGATGATATGGAGAAGAAGAACCTCATACACCCCCAGTTCAAAACTCAAACTATGCCTAGAAGCCCAGATGTGAAAAGAAGTGAGTTCACATCTGTTTCTAACTGCTGGCCACTGACCCAAGTGAATGACCCGCTCTATATTTAACTGCTGATGTGTGCCGTCACTGTGCTTCAGACTCGCTGCTGCTGTATGAAGTTCAGCTTCAGCAAATAAAATGTTATGTCTTCACTGCAGTCAGAGCTCACCTGTAATCTGTCCTCAGGGGGGCGAGTTAAGACCTGGAAGAGACGCTGGTTCATTCTCACAGATAACTGCCTCTACTACTTTGAGTACACGACTGTAAGTAATTACCGCTTGGCTTTTATAAGAGAAGAGATAAATGCTGTATGAAGGCTTCAACAGAACCGAAGATGTATTCTCCTCTCATCTCTTTTGTTTACAAGGATAAAGAACCCAGAGGAATTATTCCACTGGAGAATCTGAGCATCAGAGAAGTCGATGACTCCAAGAAACCGGTAAACTATCTTCTCTTTGTGATGCATTTTGTCGTATAATTAAATGTTTCTGCTGGTTTACCCTCCAAATCAGATCTTTGTGTCAGAAAAGTAAAACTACCATAAAACAAGATGGTGCAGGATAAAAATGCAGCTATCATTTGGTGACGTTCTTCAAATGCAAATATAATGTCCAGTCTTGCACTAATTGATTAAATATAGTAAAGTGTCAGTTTATAAATCAATAATTTAAAGATGTGTTCCCTGTATTCTTTTTATATGATTTGTCATCAGGAAATCTATTTGAATGAGTGTTTTTGCTCCTTCCTGACTCATCTCGTGCTTTTCTCCAGAACTGCTTCGAGCTGTTTGTCTCCGACCACAGAGATCAGGTGATCAAAGCCTGCAAGACGGAGGCAGACGGCCGCGTGGTGGAGGGAAACCACACTTTCTACAGGATCTCCGCCCCGACCGCAGAGGAGAAGGACGAGTGGATCAACAGCATCAAGTGAGCGGCACTTCAGCTCTCCCTTTGTCCTGCAGCGGATCACTGTACTGTCTCGTATCTAACCCTCCTTCTCCTCCTGCAGAGCCGCCATCAGCAAAGACCCGTTCTACGAGATGCTGGCTGCCCGGAAAAAGAAAGTCTCGTCTCTGAAAGGGCTGTAGCGCTGCGAGGATGAAACACTGTGGACCTGAAACTCCTCCTGCTGCTAAACTGACATTTGGACCTGACGGAGAGAAGTTTGCTTTTAAAGCTCTTCCTCTGTCCCCTTCAGTACCGACACCTCTCTCTCTACAGGTTTGACCTTTGTGTTTAAAGTTTCTCTCCCCATCTATAGATGAAAGGACAGTGGTAGACCTCTGTCTTTATCTTCCTTTTGGACCCTTCTGCAGTGCTGTAGTACAGCAAGGCTCTACTACAGAGGCACTAAGAACATTATATGTTAGTTAGGAAGTTAAATATCAAAATGGGTGAGAGTGTAATATTCAGAGAAAAACATAATTTGAAAGGAAAAAGCTAGGAAGTTCTGTCAGTCTCAGAATGTCTGAGAAAAAACAAGCAAACATTTATGTTATGAGATTATCAAGCATAACATTTAAGCGGAAAAAAATCTGGGTTGTGATCACAAGCAGTTAATAGGTCATCCATTACAGGTCAATGACAGAGTATGGCAAGCTGGGGCGTATTGCTGTGATGATCCAGCATGCCAAGTGAAGCGATGTGGTTCCCTTAAAAAAACAACTCTTCTCCTAATAGAAGCTAATAACCTACAACGGCGCTGATAAGCCGTTGTTCTCCACAGCTCTACGAGGAGATGTTCTCGGTCAGAATGAAACTTTAAAGTGGACCTATCATGCTATATTTGAATATATTGTAGGGCCTTACCTATATAAAACATGTCCGTGAAGTTTTTTTTTCAAAATACCAAACAGATCATGCATTTTTGCCATGCCTCATTTTGCGCTATTTGCTCTTTTCCACCCCTGTCTTCACAAGGGCTGATTCTGTGGCAAATGAGCTGCAGCTGACCGGCACGAGCGTCATGTCACCATGCCACGTAACCTCTCATTCCCCTGATAGGTGGAGAGTTGCCCATATAGGCGGAGCACCCCGTTTCTGACGTCAGAACAATTTCAAATCTGTATCAGTCTGTATCAGATCCGTTGCAGCCCCGTTTTTAGAGATTTGGGTATGGAGGAAAAGAGAGAGGGTTGTGTTTTCTGACACTTGGTGAGTTCCCTGACACACCGGGGACACATATTCATGTATAAAAGTGCATTTTGCATGATAGGTCCCCTTTAAGATATTTTCTTTTAGTTGAACACCTACTGTTTTTTGATAAAAGCCTTTCTCCACCTTGTGAAAGTTGCAGCACATTTCAACACAAGGATGGGGATCAGCTAATGAAGGAATCACATGGCACAGTAATGTGATTCAGAGCAGCTTTCGGGGAGTCTGAAGTTTGAGGTCTTAGATTCAATTTCTGTTACAATATAGAAATCACATGGAAAACAAATGTTGTCATCTCGTTTGGGATGTTGGACTTTATTGTACAAAATGCTCTTTTCTAAATCGGTTTTCTTACTGCTGTTGGTCACATGTCAAAGCACTGTTAATGAAAGTGATGCATAAATAGCTACATATTTATTTCTCCAGATTTCTTGTAACTTATTATTTTGAGATTTGTATCATTAAAAGTCTGAAAAACCAACACTTTTACTCATTTAACTGTTGTGATTCCTTGTTCATTTGCAATACATTGTGTTTTTATGTTGCTATAAAGCTGTGGGTAAGAGTGCACCTAACAAAGAGTCACACGTTAGAAGTCATTTTAAAAACTCGTCCACATCGTCCTTTAATTTACAAAGATAATAACAAACTGTACATTTAGCTTTGATTACTGCTGTAAACTCTCTTAACGGTTATTAGGCTCCTCCAGGGATTGTTTTTCTGCACCACACCCGTCTGTTTTATATCGCAGCTTGAAGAAATGCATTGCAGTGGTAGGAAATCTTTTTTAATGTTGTAGTAGAAAAACTATAATGTGATGACATCAGGTGGTGAATCAATCTAACAGCTGTGCAGGTAAACCAGGATCTGGAGTTTGATACAAAAAGAAAGTTTACCCGCTGAATTCACCACATACATCCCTCCTGTATGTGTCAGTCACTTCCTGGGACACACTAATGAGTTATAAGCAAGGTGAGGTTGGAAACTCCCAGCATGCCGATGGTACCCGAGTCTCCCATCTGCGGACTCCGGTGTGACCTTCGACATCAAGACGAAAGGAAACCAAAGCACTCTTTCTCCCTCTAAACATAAAAACACAGATGTTCAGTATTTTGTTGACTCTTCATTTACCTTACTACAATTTTTAACTAGTTTTATTGTAATATAAAACACAATTGTTGCAATTATTTTGCACTTCTGTACTTTAAATATATAGTGAAGTATGCATTAAGCAAATTGTACAGAAAGTAGACGTAAAAGTATTATTAAAAAGTATGCCCTGAAATATCATTTAATGAAATAAAAAAAATCAGGCACATTTATTCTCCAAGTATGGTATTCTATACAAGTTGTGAGAATGCAAAATGTATTAAATCATGTTTAAAATAAGAAAATACACTCTTGGCAAGATTTCTTTATCTCCTACCAGTAATGTACAAGCCCTGTGAGCATTATGTTAAACTGCTAGTAATGGGTCACAAGTGGTTAGTTCAATGTGTGAAACCACAGTGGGAAATCCCAGTGTCACCACTAGAGGGCAGACAGCTCCACCCTGACTGACCCTCACAGAGGTGGTTCGTTCAGAGGAACCTGTTGTCTCTAGTTTCTAACAATAGACAGCCTGTGCTGACAAAAAGGACTTTCAAAAACATTCCTTTAACCGGTAAGGCTATTGTTGGAGACTGCGTTTGTTTTTTCCTCTGCCAGGAAAACAAGATGAGATAAGTAATAACAGAGGTGACAATGCCAGAGGATACAAAGCACGAATGAGAGTGGACAGACTGCTCCAGGACCCTAACAGACAACATTCAGACAACATTCAGACAACAAACAGTATCCAAAAGAACAGGAATTACATTCCTGCTGTGACATCATGTCATACTATACTCTGATAACAAAATGTTATCTTCTGACAGAAGATAACATTTTGGGTTCTTTTCATTAAAACAATCAGACAGTGTTTGTATTATTTGACACTAAAGAGCCTTTTCTGTTGTCTTCTAAATACGTTCTAAGTTCAACACAACCTTTAGCCTCAGGTTACAGATGCCAAACATCTGTTTGTTAGTGTCACCGTGCCGGTAAGTCCTTTCAACACTGACACGTAAAACAAAAGGCCTGAATGTGCTGATGCTAATCTGTGCTGCGTGAAAGATGATCTCTTTACAACTGTTTCCTTTTGGCAGCGGATCACTCAAGATATTTTAGATTTCCTCGAATAGTGCAGGTAGCGTTCAGAGGCCGCCCGTTTACCGTCATTTCTCAGCCTGTGACACTTCCTGTTCAGAGAAACTGACAGAAAAAACCTGATACTGCAGCTTTCCTTTTGGCCAGGCCTTGACTTTATGAAATGAATACGTCTTCCTTTTCGAGTGAGAAGTTGATGTTTTTATGTCTCCCTGCAGCTTTTATTTCCACAAAAAAATATCTCGTAAAAGTGTTAATTCTTGCGAAGAACCCCCTGACTTCACCTCTCCAGGTCCAGACTCGAGGTAACTGAGACCACCCGTCAGATCCTCAGCATACCCCGGTGCTGACTCACTTCTTGACAGGAGTGAATCAGCCCCTCTCTGTCCCCCCCCCCCGCTCTCACTGTGGTGCTCCGGGCTGCTGGGAAGGCGAGGACGGGACCTGAGATTTTAGACGCGCCACAATGACTGCAGGCATTTCAGAGAAGCCACAGCCTGTCTTACTGTGGGCGTGTGCTTCTGCTCAGTCTGCTCAGGGCTGAATGTTGTCTAGTAGGCAACAAAATATCATTAAAACAAATGAAAGCAATGCACTATGTAAAAAATATATTTTAAAGAGAAATTCTTATTTTCTGCAATTTAAGTGCACTTTTGACAGTGTGCTTTATTTGAGAAAGCAACATTTTCATTCTATAAAAAAGGGATTTTTCTGTCCAAATAATTAATTTTAGTTCAATATTTTCTCTTCTTTTAGCTCTGGTTTGGTCTCTACCAACTGAGGGTAAATATCTGGCTCTTAAGCTGCTATATTCCCCACTTGGTTCATCAGCTAGTTTCTCACTTGTTCTAATTGTGTGGAGCAGAAAGTGTGCAGTGTGTTTGTTGGGTATATTCACTGAAAACAGCTGCCCGTTGAGTCTGGAGCATTGATGGAACACAGAGAAAAACTGTTGTGGCTGAAAGAATCTAAAACGCTTTATACTGCAGATCTGAGTGTAACTGCAGAGCAAGGTCACAACTCTCTATAGGTCATTTGATCAATTGTTTATTTAAAATAAATGATTTGCAAAACTTTTTTAAATGTCTAATAGGACTTTCTTTCGTCACTAAAATAAAATAGGCTGTTGCTTTAAGGGCACTTAAAGAGCACTCGCTCCGCCAAAGCCATATCCTTGGTCGCAACATAACAAGGTAATTTAGATACTCCCAGAAATGTAATGGAGTCGTCCTTGGCCCACACTACACCCTTCTATCTAGTATTATAAAATGAGGCTAACATCTTTTTTTGTTAATCCTGCTGACAAACAGGAAAAACCAATCAAACCAGAAGCAAATCCTTAATTGTTGAGGTATCATAGGTGAATGCTGTGTGTGCTGTAGTGAGTGTGTACATGTGTGTGAGATCACCTGGTGGTGTCTCAGAAGAAGTTCTTGATGAGGGGAGTGACTAATTTCACCCACAACTTGACATGACGGTCCGGCTGCTCGAACGTAGAGCTCGACACCTCGGTGGAGCGCTGATACAACCTCTCCTGCTCCTGAGAGGCACACAGTATAACACACAGTATAACACACAGTTCAACACACAGTACAACACACAGTTCAACACACAGTTCAACACACAGTACAACACACAGTTCAACACACAGTACAACACACAGTTCAACACACAGTTCAACACACAGTTCAACAAACAGTTCAACACACAAAATAACACAGGTGTGCGTTCAGTGCGGAGTCACACAGTCAGTCATCATCATTTCCTGCGGTTGACCCACCTCCTGGAGCTGGCTCTGCAGCGCCTTGTTCTCCGTCACTATGGCGATCTGGGCCTCCAGGTCACGGTGAACCGAGCGGTATCCAAAATTAGGGGAGCCAATTAGAGTGAGGCAAGGCCGGTCCTTCCCCTGGAGGTAATACCACAGACCTGTGAGGAGAGGAAGAGTGCAGCGAGCTTCAGAGAGACGCTTCCAGCAGGGATCTCAGACCACAACTAAGAGGAAGCACATGCAGAAAATCCCCAGCACAGATCCAAAACCCCAAAGCATGAGGGAGAGTGAGTGTACATCCTCGCCCCGGGGCTACGGCGCGATGAGTGTACGAGCCCTCCTCTCTCACGCTACATACCGCTGCGACCACAAGAAGAGCAGCGGAGCAGGGAGAGTGATGCGTTTTATTAGTTTCACCCAGCCAAACAAAAGTAGTCTGGATGCTGAGCCCTGGATAATGCCACCTACACACTATGACTGTGTGGATCACATTAGAACACAGTCTGTCTCATAATGGGGGTGTTGAACTGAAGGAACCCCCGACAAATCTGTCTGTTGCCAGGGAGTCCAAAAACAGGCGAGAAGTGAAATGGGAACAGCTGCCAGACCTAGAATGGATGTCTGCAAGTAGCTAGTGCTACAAGTTGTTTGTCTGTGATTTGTAGCAGAGTCAAATCAAGGAGGAAAAAGAAAAGAATATGCAGAGAGAAAATGTATATGCTTGTCATAACGTAGGTAGCTGACTGCTTTTGTTGTGGCTTAACCATTATATATATTTGTGCAATGGCTTTAGGTCAAGATGTCCACACTGCAGACAGGCCACGATTGATGACCTGCTACTTCTCTTCTCGATTGCTCCTTTATAATTCTCAGAAGCAAAGAACATCATTTACCTGCATCTCTTTGTCTCAGTTTGTCTTGAAAAACATCCTTGTTGAATTAAAATCACTTTAAAATAATCACACTGTCAAATATTCTAAAAAAAAAAAAAAAACGACTTCTTTTTGTAAGCTTATGTGCATATATGGCCCTGTCAGTACTATATATACAGATGAACTGTATGTCCCTTGATCTGTTTCTAATCATTGAGTATCACTACAAGCTCAGCTTCTGATCATGTGAGGATGTGACCATAATGCCAAATGCAGATTTAAATGTACAACTGAAGCGAAGCGCTCTAGACGTGTGTGTGTTTCTAAAAATGAAAATCTTTAGGCTTTTAGGCTCAGGGCATATTTTTAGACAACTTTTACACTAATTAGTAGTTGAAAAACGAATTAACATAAGATCATGACCGTTAGTCGTTGATACAGGTGTGTGTGTGTGTGTGTGTGTGTGTGTGTGTGTGTATTCCCACCTTTGGCGTGGAAGGTCCACTCCGGCCGGTGGTACTCGTGCAGG